ATGTCATAATATTAAACAATTAGGATATACATTTTAACTTCCGCTATGTTCTTCATGCCTTACATAGTCAGAACAATTTTGAACTGATTAAACAATCTACTTTGCAATGTTTAGTTTGTGCAATGAAGTCACTTTTAATTGAAAATTGAAATGTGAAAATCTCTTTTCTCCTGATTTCATGTCAATTTCAAAAATTAAGAAAAATTGTTTTTACTTTTTAGTCAGTGTGAAAATGTATATGCATCCATAAATATACAGCAATGCTTTTCTGCTAAAAATACTTTTTTTCTCTGTAAGACAATGTGATAAAATATGTAAAATATGTAAAATAATAATAAATAACAAAACATAAATACATAACATATGTTTTGTCAGCTCATTCCTTTAACACAGAGTTGATGTCAGTAGCAATGCTTATTTACAGTCTTGCTAGTTTAGGTTTTGCTGAACATTTTCATGTTACAAAAGCTTTTTGAACTTTTTAAACTAAAAATGACCAGGATGCTATTTGTCTCTTTTAAAAAATATATTTTTCAGTGCTTCATTCCTACATCATCACCTACACTAAAGTACAAGGTATTCCAGGGGTTGAGTTTACTGCTGTAACAGAAGTGGATGATCAGGAGGTCTGTTACTATGACTGTAACATTCAGAAGCTGATTCCCAAGCAAGAGTGGATGAAGAAAACTGAATCTGAAGACTTTGTGAAAGAAGTTGCTCTAAGAAATAACCAAACGTGCACACTCTTCACAAAGTATACTGACTATGTCAAGAATCTTTTCAGCCAAACTGGAGGTTTGTCATAGTTTACTGCACACAAAGCACAAAATAAATGTAAATAGTAATGCCAGTGGGAACATATAACAAAACTTTATAGAGAAATTCTGAATCCTTTCTCTCTTTCAGGTGCATACATTTACCAGAGGAGATATGGCTGTACCTGGGATAGTGAAAGCAAACATTCTAATAAGTTTGATGCATTTGGATATAATGGAGAGGACATCATTACTGTGGAAGAGAATAAATACATACTTTCAAAGCAAGCAAGGGACAAGTGGAAGGAAGACATTGCAGAGGGCTTTCTAGAAAGAGACGGAAAGGATTGTGTTTCATGGCTGAACGATTTCTTGGCCTTTGGAAAAAGCCATGTTGAGAGAATAGGTAATGTATCTTTTGAGAACTTCATTTGAAGAACATGGTGGTGAGACAAACATTCAACATTAACATAATTTTTAAAAAGGCTGCTGACTGCATTTGTGATACATGCTAATTCAGCTTTTAAAATGTTTAGAATACTCTCTTTCGTTTTTTTCTTTTTTTTTCTTTTGCTCTCTGGTTCACAATTGGCCCTTTTCTTTCTCTGTCTAGTTCCACCTAAAGTATTTCTGCTCCGGAAAGACCCCTCCTCTCCAGTGGTGTGTCAAGCCACAGGTTTCTACCCAGCAAATCTGACAATTACCTGGACAAGAAATGGACGTGCTTACAATAATACCGTGGACCCTGGAGAATTCCAGCTAAATGAAGACGGGACCTTCCAAATGAGCAGCACCTTAAGAGTGACTCCAGAAGAGTGGAAATGGTACCAGTATGACTGTGAGGTGAACACACCTTACGGCAGTTGGAAACATTTGGAGAAAGCTGATCTCAAATGTAATACTGGTAAGTTTAATTGTTTCTAACATTGAATATTGTTCTTTCTTACTTTCCATCCTGTTCTGAGTAGAATCTACAGTGACATGAAATTAGGTAAGGAGAGATAGTCATTGACTGAAACTCTCTGATGACAATGTAACCAAAATATGAATGTAAGTCTATCTAGTGTAACAGGAATAACAAAAGATAGCAAAATCTATGTCATTTTTGTTCACAATACACTTCTGACCACATTTGAACATGACGCATGTCTCCCTGACAAACTCTGGGTTGCATTTTAGCAGCATTTTCTTTGTGTCATTTAGGATGTGTACTAAACTCAGCAAAATAAAAAGAAAACACTTTCTTCTTAATTGTGTGCTTGCAGATTCTGCCACACTCAACTGGCGTGAATGGGTCCCTTATGGCTGTGGACTGCTTGCTGTGATTGTTGTGCTGTGTGCATTGGCATATTGCTGCTATGGTAAATGCAGGAAGTCCAGCAAAGGTAAGTTCCTCTCACAATGTACTGTACACTCATGTGGTGTGTGTGTGTTTGTTTTTGTGAGCTAAACTGATGTATTGCTGTCTCTGTTTTCCACTCAGGTCCATTTCCCCAACAGCACAAGCCCCTGCTAAAAGTGTAACACTAATGGATAAACTCTTTGGGAATCTACGAACATTTTAACATTTTTGTTTGTACTCATTATGTTTATGGGTAAAAGTTACACTGAGATATCAACTTATTGGCATTTTCCTGGTTTAATCTTTATTTCCAAATATGCTTTTTATGCATTGTGCATTATGCAACGTTTTGTTGTTGTCTTTCGCAATATTTTATGAACCTTTAAGTCAAACATACATTTTGTTTATTATGGTATGTGGTTTATACATTTTGTTATAAATTTTTTCATTTATAATCATTTGTATTTTAATAATTTAATTATTTAATTTAATCATATAATCATTTATTATGCATTATATCAACCATTTATTCATTTGTGTTACTAATTCTTTTACTTTTTTCTTGCTCTTGTACTGCAACAATGTTGTGAAGCAAAAATTTCCACTGCATTCATTTTGGTATCATAACTTATGTTGAATTTGTGCTTGTATGCAGTCTGACACAGAGCATTAAAAACAGAAACAACTAAGATTACTAAAAAAAACCCTGCTTATTTTCACCATCATGCTGTCTCCTCCTTTATACACTCTCACTCCTCTGTCAGTCTCTTTGACACTTTGATGACACTTTTGGATACCAGACACAATGCAGTTCTACGTGATTTTGGGCAGAAAAAGTATTGATAGAACATGAGCTACAATAACCTGTGGCTGTTAACCAACTGTAAATCCATTTTTGTGGGGCACCTGATTTTTCACAATACCAGAACTAACTGTTGTATGAATTTCTTTAAAATCTTTGTCCAGATTAATTATGCTATTAAATAAATACCTTACAACATAAACTGACTTTAATATCTGTCATGTAGCCAAAACATGTATATGTAAGTGACACATTCATCTGCTATACTTAAAAATTATTTTTTATCATACTTTCCATCAATATCTGTC